GCTGATGATAAGAAAGGTCCCAAGAAATATACAAATATGTTTTAGGATTCAATATTTTGTGTACATTTTTCATCAAACTATTGATTAATTGGAACGAATGTTTGAATAATACAAACAATATGAAACACTTTTGGTTTCTTATTTATAACAACAAATTTTAAGTAATTGAATACCAGTGAATTAAATGTAAGTTGCAAAAAATCTTTAAAATAAGTTGCAAAATGATTTTATCTCACACATTGATGTTGATGATTTATTCAACAAATCAGATTTTTTGCAAAAATATTTACGAGTTGAACATAATAAAACAAACATAATACTAAATTTCTTAAAAATAACAAACACTTATCTACTTTCTTACTTGCATACAAAATATTGCTAAGTGTTCATGTTACAATTGCATCAACAAAAATAAGATTTTTAAAACTAAAGCTTTCAAAATCTTATTTATTCTCGACCATACCTAAAGAGAGATTAACTGCTTTAACTTTTATTTTGATTAAGAACGAGTTTTTTGAAAAAAATGATTATCAAAAGTTTAATAGATATATTTTTTTTTAAATGATAGAAACTAATGTTTAGAAAAGTAACTACGGGTGAAGAATATTATGGTAGTTAATTTATGAGATGAAAGTAATAATAAATGAAAAATATTATGATAGTGAATTTATGAGATGTTTGTTACCATTTTAAGTCTTGAATTTTATAGAAGCAAATTTATTTAATAATATTTTAATTTAAATTTCTTACGGGACCTTATTTTAATTTTCGTAAAAGGCTCCGAAATATAATGGTAGGCCTACTTATATACATCATCGTTGTTTTAGTCTTTTAGCTTATTCATGTGTTTGGATCCGATTTTCTCGTGTTAAAGTCCACAAAAAAAAAGGAGAAAGTCTATATATTATCCATTTATAATTCCTCACCTAATCCCTCTAAACGAGTCTGACATAAAGTATTAAAGTAAGACCCCATGAAAAGAAGCTTCATCAAAATTATAGAATTTAGAGTAAATTACACTAATAGTCCTTATAGTTTGGGATAATTTATGTGTTTGATTTCTAACTTATTTTTTTAATTCGTACAGTCCTCATGATATGTTTTTGTTGTGTCTCTGGTTTTCAATAGATGCAAAAAGACTATAATACCCTTATGTTTTTAATTTTCACTTAACTTAATGTTTTATTTTGTTTTATTTATATAAAAATTTAGAAAAAGCAAATGTGGCCTACTAATTAACCATTTGTCATTTTCCCATAAATCTCCTCTCTCTAACCCTACATGAAATTCCCATCCCCGATCCTATGACCACCACCTTAATGCATCTACATGTAACACTTGAATCTTGGTAAGTTTCTTTATTGCCCTCATTGTTATTAATATTGCATTTTTGGTCCTTGAGTTGTACGTGGGGGGTACCACATGGTACACTTAGCGTACAAGCTGTAAAGTGAGTACACGGGATGTACCACATGGTACGCTTAGCGTACTCATGCGATGTGGGATCAGGACTCCTACACGTACATGGGGCGTACATATATGTACACGGGGCGTACGTGAGTCATTTAGAAACCTTAATTTTTGGGGTTGGCACTATATAAACATCATTATGGACCATGAAACCCTCATTTCTTAGCCTCCATTGTTCCTATAGCCTCAAGCACGAAACCCTAAGCCTCTCCTTTGTGTTTTAAGCTCGTTGTGTTCATTTTTGGTGGTTTTGGTTCATATTCAAGAATTAGAAGCTTGGTGCAAGGTAGGTCAAGGAAAAGCTTGTGGATCTCGTTTATCTGCTTCATTTCCAGCTTGTTTGAGGTAAAAAGCTATTAACTTTCTCATTAGTGGCTTTGATCTATTATTTGTATGTTTTGGTCCATTTTGGCCCCAAGAATGAGATCTAGTGATTTTATACCACTCCATGAACTTTGAAATGCCACTCTTGGTGTTTCTGAGGTTCTAGATACATAAAGTTGTCACCTTTAAGGTTTAGATTCATCCATGCAAAAGTTTATGTCCATTTGATGAGAGTATAGTGTTATATTTGGAAGTTGGGTCTTTATGGGGCATGCAAAGTCACCAAGTCAGTGACTTTATGGTTATAGACGCTTATTTGGACTTAGATCTGTGGTTTGGGCTTCTAATCTTAAGCATTAAGAACTTAAGGTTGATTTTGGCTTAATGGTTTAGTACGTTGGGTGTACAAGTTCGTACGTATGGCGTACAACCCAAGTTGCGTGTACGCTTAGCGTATAGCTGAGTACGCCCCGCGTACTCAATCTATTGGGCTTCACAACTTTTGGGCCTCGGTTGGGTCATTTGTTTGGACTTTGTTTGGGCTAAGAGTCTGGACTAGGAAACATTATTGTGCTTTAGGGTAAGGCCCATAATGGGGTTTGGGCCAAATTTGGTAAATTAGGCTATAAGTGGGCCTCATTTGATTATTTGGTTTTGGGCCTTTTAGATATTGAGTTTGGGCCTTAGTCTTCGGCCAAAATAGGTGAAGGGTGAAATGGTCTTTTTACCCTAAGTATGGATTGTTAGACTTATAGTTAAAGATTAGAACCCAAATATTAATTAAGTGTTATTTTGTATTGATAGCTTGGGGGTTCTTCAGGACAACAACTAGGGATTTGCAATGAGATTCAACAGTTAATGTAAGTTTCCTCACTGGGTTTAATGGATCTAAGGGACTAATGTCGGCCCTTGTTGTTTATGTTAAGATGCTAGGAGTCTGCGTGATCCTTGCATTTGTTATGTGTTGTTATGAATACCAGGCGGGGCTCAATGTCGGGCGAGGCTCGATGACTGGGTTCAGGTCCACTTATGAATTTCAAGTCAAGGTAGTATGAAAGACGATTATGGGCATGTTCGGCAAACTAGTTGATAGCGAGTGGTTGGTAGCTGATAACGTTCTGTTAAACACTACATAAGATAATTTTTAGATTTGAAGTGTTTTTTTAAATTAATGCTAAAAAAAAATTATTGTCAAACGCAATTGTGGACCTAAGATTTTGTTTTAGGGTATGTCAAATAATTTAAAAAATATAAATGATAGCAAAATACTTCAAATAATAAAAAAAATGTAACAATATATGCAGCAAAATGTATTCTCTTCGTGTAAAATTTGAGATTTTTAATGGGAGGCTATATGGCAATTCACATCCCTAGTCTTTTGTAGTTAATAAAAAATTATATATATATATATATATATATATATATATATATATATATATATATATATATATATATATATATATATATATATCGTCAATTTTATGTGGGTGGGCCAAAGCTTACTCTTATGCTAATGTGGCTACGTCAATGGTCAAACGAGACTTTTTGTTCAAAACAAAATATTTTGTCAAAAAATAAAAATTCAAAACTTTCAAACGCTTCGAGCCAAACATGTATTAACAAATGGTAAAAAAATAGATATGAGGTAATATACCAATTTTAAAAATGGTTATTATAGTTAATAACTCTAAAAGCCAAATCAAACAAATGAATAATAAGTTGAGTTAATTACAAAACTACCAAAATCCTTAATTACTTATTAGGTTTTAGCTGGAAAAATAACATTTATTCCAAAGTAGCATTTAAAATCGTAGTTCATTAAGTTAGTCTACGGCCAACGATGCGTTGACTACGATCAACGCTCGATTTACTACTTTTTGGGGGCAATGGACTACTATTTGGGGGTCATCTACTTTTTCAGGACTTGTTGACCCAATAAATATAAAGTTGTAATTTTCAGTTTTGCTTATTTTTTGTGTGTTTGAAGTTTGAAATTCTCTCAATGAACCTTTCAAGGAACAACCAGATGTGTCTCCGAATCTTGAACTTTTTTTTTGTTTTTCTTTTTTTTAGTTTTAAAAGATGCTTTTTTTTGGAAAAAAAACAAATAAAACAATAGGTTCGTATGAAACCTATGATGTATAAGCATTCAATGTATAAAACATGTAATAATTGTTTGTATACCATAGGTTTCTTATGTACCTATCGTTTACATGATTTTTTTTTTTTTTTTGGTTTTTTTAGCTTGTATACAATGTAATATAAATTCAATGTTGTTAATTTTTTTATAAATAATAGTCAAATACCAACCAAAAAACAAAACCGTAGCTTTCTAGATGAAACAGTATAGCATTTTAAGTTTTATGGTTTCGAGAAAAGTAGACCATTCAAAGGAAACCATAGATCATAAAATAGTCTACGATTTCGTATTGTTTTATGAAAAAAAAATCCTTAAGTATAAGAGTCGAAACGTTAGATCATAAGCGAAACAAATGACATCTAGTTTAGTTGTATCAATATTGTATTTGTCCTTGATGTGGATGGTTCAAGTCTCATCGAAGACATAAATGATATTAGGAGTAAGAGTAGAATAAATTTGTCGTTCAAAAAAAAACCTATGATTTTGTTAGCTATTTTAAACTAAATCCTAAATTTTAGTTAAAAATTAAAATTTTGGATTAGATTAGTAATTTGATCAAATAAATTAGTCGACTACTAAAAAGGCAAAAACAATGCCAACAATTCTCTACTCTAGAACTATCTCCCTAGGGTACCAAAAGTGATATGAAAACGTACGGTCAATATTATTTAACTAATGCAAGTCAAAATATGTGTACCATCGAACGTACGTATATTCTTTTACATAAAAAATTATTAATATTGTATTATAATGATTAATGATTAACAAATTATAATCTCCGACTTTTATTTATAATTAAAAAGAGACCATTCAACTAAATATATAATATCTCAATACTTCAATCTTTTTCAACCATCATCCACGACAAAAAAAATAAAAAATAATTAAAAAATAACAAATTGAAGACGACTCATTCCCGTAGACGCGGAAATATTTGAATGCACAATTTTCCAAAGTTGATTTCAGACCCAAAAAAGAATCCAGAAACTTTTCCAATTCTATATAAGCATCAACCTCAACAAGCATAACTCACCAACTCTTCCATTCTTCCCAATCTCTTCCAACAATGGCTACTTCTGTATCGAAATCTGTTACAGTTATCTTTTCTATTCTTCTTCTTTCTTTCTTTCTCACAGTCGAATCCCAGAAGTTTTCAAGAAACCTATCACAACGATCTTTAGGTTTGAGAAAAGAGAAACTGAGCCACTTTCGTTTCTACTTCCATGACATAGTTAGCGGCCCCAACGCCACCGCCATCAGGATCGTCGAAGCCACCAGAACCAACCGCACTGCCTCCACTGGTTTTGGTGACATCAGCATGATCGACAACCCTTTGACCATCGGCCCTGAAAGGAACTCGAGGTTGGTGGGTAGAGCACAAGGGATGTATACATCCGCGAGCATAAATGAAATGGGTTTGTTGATGGTTATGAACTACGTATTTGTAGAAGGAAAGTATAATGGTAGCACTTTGTGTATAGTTGGCCGGAATCCGGTGATGTCAACGGTGAGAGAGATGCCGGTGATAGGAGGAAGTGGGCTTTTCCGGTTTGCACGTGGATATGCAGAAGCAAGAACTCATACTTTTAACATGAGCAATGGTGACGCCGTCGTGGAGTTTAATGCTTATGTTTTCCATTATTAAATATTTGTATTTTTATTTCATGTTGTTGTTGAAGTTTTGATTTTGCTTTCCGGGTTTGCATTTTTTGTGATGATAAGATATAGATTACAATATTGTTTCCACGGTATTATTGATTATTAACTAATAAGTCTACGTACTTATGAATCACGTATAGGCAAAATGTACTGTTAATCCATGAATATACGTATATATAGAATTTGAACTAACAAGTTCAAGTTATGGCAAAAATAACCTATACAAACCAAACTCGATCATTTTATAATACTATTAACATGATAATGATAGCATGTCTCGTAAAAAATATGTTTGAACATTGAGTCGTCTAGTAATTAAAGTAAGTATATATTATGTTTGCACGTTTAATATAAAAGCTATGTAGAGATAACTAAAAATCGACCATAATTTATTTTGTTTTTACTGATTTTATAGGCATCCAAAATATAATGAGTTTTATAGAATAATTTAATGGTCATTAAACTCGAAATTTAATGAATGTTAATATCACATGTTATCATGATAAAACTTCATCCATTAAAGTTGTATTTCCCATCTCATTCAACTCTATGAGTACACTGTTGTGATTGATTACAGTTACATGTATGACTTTAAAAAATAGTGCATCAATGAAAATCGTTTTTCATTAAGAAAAATTGATAGAAAATGATCAACATATTATATATAAATAACGCATATATACATATATTAAGTTGATAAGTTATATTTTTATAATTATGTTATGTTTGTTTAATTGTAGTTAAATTAATTTATAGAAATGGTCATTTTAAGGCTAACATACAAATAAACAAATAATCTGATCAACGAATGTTTACCCCTTTTAAGCATTTTTTTAAAAGAAAATTAGACTCATTTATTTATATATTCTTCCTATCGTCTAACGCAAAAGTAGCCGACATGTACCAAATAATTGGAAAGTAGTCAAAGTACGAATAGCCGCCATCATCGATACACTAAGTTGTAACTTGTAAGTTAACAGATTATTTAGAAAATTATAGAGTAAATTAGGATACGCTGTCACATTGTAAAGGATCCATTCGATCTCTATTTTTAAAAATTAAATCAGATTGTTCTTATTTGTTTTTTCCCAAAATTCATTTTATTTACTTATCACTTTTAGATTGAAAAAGAAAATAAATATCTACACCTAACCTAACCTAACCTAACCTATCCCTCCCCTTCCCTTCTCACAGCTTAGTATCCTCTCGTTCTCACCCTCTTCCTCTCCATCGATCCAACAATCATCATCAGTAAGTAATATCATCACTTGTTAACTTTAATACCACCACCACCAATGTGGCTCGGCATCACCGTCGTAGCTCACCACCGCATCTCATGTTTCTCCGTTGACAGGTGGATAAAAAGAGGCAACGACGATTACCCACTCCTCCTCCAACCCAACATCTCATGTTTCTCCGTCGACTGTTTGGTTGTGGAATAAGGACAAGAGTGGCGGTGGTGATGATGATGTTTCACTACAAGAACAATGACTATTAGTGGCGACAGACGTCGCCGCTAAAGGTCCCGATTGTCGCCGCTAAAGGATCGCCGTTGTTGATTCGTTGCTAATACCCAATTTGCCGCTGCTAATGATTACCACTAATACTTTTTGTCGCTGCTAATTGTAGTTTTTTTTTTTTTTTTAGTTTTTTTTTTTAACACTCTTTCCGTATACAAAACAAACCTTATAAAATTATAAAAACTGTTATAAAAATATAAAAACTTTATAAAAACATATAACCAAAAACAGATCCATACATACACAATACACATACAAAAACATATACATACATATACAAAAACACATACAGATACATAATATACATACTAATACACAAATACATACATAATACACATAAACACACACACACACACATATATATATATATAGAGAGAGAGAGAGAGACACACACACACATATATGTATATATATGCATACTAATACACAAATACATACATAATACACATATAAATACACACACACACACACACACACACACACATATATATATATATATATATATATATATATATATATATATACAAAAGACACATTATACATATAAATGAGTTCATAGAAGAGGGAAGAAGGAGCTGAAGGGGGAAGAAGGAGCTGAAGGGGGTTATATCTGCGAAGGGAATTAGCGGCGACGCCTTTTAGCAGCGACATGTTAAGTATTAGCGGCGACATATCGAGTATTAGCGGCGACACCTTGGGGGGGAATTTTGATGGTCAAATTTTTTTAGTATTATCGGCGACATCTTTGGGGGGAAACTTTGGCGGTCAAAATTTTCGAGTATTAGCGGCAACACCATCGCCGCTATTGGTATGTATGTTATCGATTTTCAGTCCTTGGATTAGGGACAAAATCAACGGCTAAGGTTTCACCTTATATTTTGACGCGGATTGGGGTCGATGGGCATTAGCGGCGACAACCACCTTTAGCGGCGACACATAACGCGAAAGTTATGTGTCGCCGCTAAATGTGGTTGTCGCCACTAATACCCATTATTCTTGTAGTGTTTGTTTTCCCTTTGTATCATAGCTGATGAACGGAAGTAATAAGTACTTAAACCCTAGGCGGCGATCCTAGATCTGAGACGATGAAGGAGAAGGTTCGAAACTAAAAGGATGTTCAGTTGTGTTTTAATCAACTGTAAAGTAAATCAAAGTTAATAGAACAAAAAAATCTAAATAAGATCTTGTTTCAGCTCTATTATCCGGAGAGAGTACAAGTGATATCACAATGAGACTAAAAGTTCAATGCGTACAAGTGTGCAAAAGTTACAACTCACTTAGGTACCTACCATCTTTATAGGATACTCACAGATACAAAAAATATTAGGACTCGACATCACATTGCCAATCTATAAAGTGCCTAGTAAATACCTTACATAATGAAGTCTTGTCAACTACTCGTTATTTACAAACACTCATAATCAAGATAACTACCTAAGGTTCGACATATCACAACATATTGACTCTACATTCTCCCCCTTTGTGATAAATGTCGAATCTTCAAACTGAGGGTAGTTTCTTTATTGTTTGTAGCAAGACTTTGCGAATCTCCATGTACCATAAGATGATATTTGTTGTAACATCCCAAAAATCATAGTAAAAAAGTTTTGTTTTTAAAACCATATCAAATCCATAAATCATTCAATCCATAGTTTCCAAAAAAGACATAGTCATAAATTAGAGTCTCCTAAAATCATTCATCAATAAAATATCTATGATGTGCACAATGGCACCTTCGCCTTGCCCCGATCATCTGATGTACTTGAAACCAAGAAATCAAACTATAAGCCAAAGTTTAGTGAGCTCTACCAAAGTACCCCACACCACCAAAAAGATAACAACATGCATACATGAGCCTTCAGCATAACTGGACCGCGCCGTAGGGCCTACAACCTATCTGGACTGCTCTCCGAGCCTTCGGTCTGACTGGACCGCCTCGAAGGGCCTTCAGGCTATCCGTTCCGCCTTAGGTATCTTATCATTCAGTACAAAGCATGATCGCCTCAACCCAACCACAATATGTCGACATATACAACAGATAAACATAAACATATAACCAGCAAGTACATGTAATCATACAAATCTACCAGTCTAACATATAGCCATCATACTCTCGACCCACAACCATCAGGTTGGAATGCCCCGGTCTGTTGGCTCTCGCACAAAGCAGATAAGCCTCAACTACTAATCAGTCATGTGCACATATATTAGATAATCACATAATAGTCTACAGACAGACAAACCGATCTACAAATCACTAAGCATATCCTATCTACCATGATACCGATCTAACAGATCACAATAACAATAAAGCAGGATAACAATCCAAAAGGTCGGCCTTGGTGCCTTCGACCCTTGTGTATAGTGAGGAAAACTCACCTCGCAAGTAGCCCGGGATGATACTGTCAAACTCCTCAGATACATCTCGAAACTCAATCACCTACATCCACCAATGATCTACTTCCATAAATTTCCAATTTACTAAAATACCCCCCCCCCAGAAGTCAAACTGTTCAACCCTTGGTCAAAGTCGAAGTCAACAGTCAATGTCAACAGTCCATGTTGACCCAACTTGTCAAGTGTAGCTCACTGACTCGTCGAGTTGCTTCAAAGAAATCGTGAAAAACCTAGTCGAATCTCCAAGTTTCTAGACGACTCATCGAATCCAAACAGTGTCCAAAATATCGGGAAAAACCCTAACCAACTCGTCGAGTTACCTCTCTAACTCGCCGAGTTCATGCAGAATCCAGAAGGCGGGAAATCTTTATTCAACTCGTCGAGTTGACTATGCAACTCGTTGAGTTCCTTCAGTTCATTTCTCATTCAGATGCTTTTACGTGAAACCAAAGCTCAGGACTATAGATCTAGGCTCCTAGGGTGTTGTTATCACATAAAGTTGCTAACTTTACGTGCATGCAAGACTCCACAAAGCTAAAACACTCATAACTAGCCTTTGAAGAAGGTTTTAGACATAAAGGAGGGCCAAAACTTCATAAATCTTAAGACTTTATGTCCATAAGGGCCTGGAGGAGTCCAGATCTGAAACCATGCGCTTGTAACAAGCTCAAAGTGACCCTATTTGCACCAAAATGCCCATCTTCTCACATAAGAAGAGATATAACAAATGGAAGGTCAAGGTAAAGACTTTTTACTTTCAAATGCAAGCCAATACGATGTAGATACTGGAATAACAAGCTTCTTCTCATTCCAAGCTTCTTAATCTTTAAGATTCTTCGACAAATGCACCAAAAACACACTTTAGTCTCTCACACACTCGAGAATAGGGATTAGATTGATTAGGGTTGCTTATGGCCGTCAAAAGGTGGTAAGAAGGTTGGAGGAAAGGGCATAAGGTCCTTTAAATAGGGTACAAACCCTTAAAATTAGGGTTTTCATGCATTACCTCTACTCGTCGAGTCGGGGTCCTCTAACTCGTCGAGTAGAAGTCATAAACCACGCGAGTTGACTAGGTTCGACACGATGAGTTAGGACCTCCAACTCGTCGAGTTCCCTCAATAAAATGAATACAAAGCTTTTAAAAATTATACTTGGGAGTCGGGATGTTACAATTCTCACCCACTTGAATAGACATTGTCCTCGAAGTCTGTTGCGACGAACAACTTCGGGTAATGCTGATGGGTTTGAGCCAAAACAACATCCTATGTGCTCATGCAAACCCTAAAGCTTGGATCTAGATTTATCTATTGTACATGCAATTCATCCAAGACTTATGAATCCTAGATCTAGCATACATATATCGAAAAATACTATATGAAAACAAATCTAGATGATTACCTCTTCAACAATTGCCTGTAATATTCTTGTCTTGGAGCTTAGAGTCACAAATGTCACTCCTCTAATGGCTTACAAACGCCACACAAGCAAAAGGAGGATATTGGAGAGAGGGTAGAGGGGCAATTTTGGCTATGAAATCTTCTAAGGCTTCAAGTGGCCGAAATATGATGCCCTAGGGGTTCTATTTATACTTGTGTTGCTAGGGTTTCAGTCAAAACCTTAATGGACAACTTAGGCCTTAATCAATCAAGGAAGCTTCTGGAATAGAGCCCTTATAGCCGAAATTAGGATAGATACATCCCTAATTTCGTCCATGCCTAGTCCATAAGGCTTATCAGCCCAATATCCAACTATCACATATTTAACAGTTTAAGGCCCTTTTATTTAATTAATATATTTTATCGACATAATTAATTCTTGTCTAATATTAATCAAACTATATGATTTCTCCTTTAATATATTATTCATATAATATATTAATAAACCATAATAACCTCTCTCTTCATAAATCACCTTGTCAAGTTGCTCTGGTGAAGGCAACCCAAAAGGACCATGCACAACCGGGTCAAGTACTTACCAAATATAGTTACGGGATTAGAAACTAATCCAACAAATGCTCCCGCATCTCGGCCTCTGATTCACAAGTCCACTCGGATCCCCTCTGTAATATTGTTGGATAAGTCTTTGTGACTTTGAAGCCTCGACATTACAGAAGATCATTGAGTGTAAGGTTGAACTATAACACATTCTAGTTGTGACAATAATTTGGAATTGTGAAATGAGCATCATTGGAATAGTGTCCAGTCGATCTGTTCGCAAATGAAGGACCATAGAGAGACATAGTATGCATGTTTATAACATGGCATAACTGATGTTTAATTTAAGTGTTTATTTGATTGCTTGTAACATTATACAATGGATAAAGTCTAATTAATATGGTGATTAAATAATAAGGGTTTTATTTATATTCGATAGGTTTGAGACCATAGTTAATTAGGTTATTATTATGTTTCACTCTGCATGTTTTAGTTCCTGAATAATTTGATTATTCAAAATTCCACAATCGCTCGTACTTTTGGAAGTAAGTAGCGAATTAAGATTGTCATAAATAGAATTCTAGATTGTCTATGCGGATTGAACATAATAATGGCTTTGCTGCAATGTTCATGAGTAATTAGAAAAT